CTAAACTTGTTGAATTAATAAATTTATATAATTGTGTGAAATCATAATATCTGTTATTGTGCATTGCGTTGTTATAAAATATAATAATTTACGATTATTAATTACTCAATACCCCAGCAGTATAGTTAAAAATACAACAATAGCAATTTAAAATTAATTTCAATTCAGGATATTCCGTGATATTTTAACTTTCCAATTCCCAGTACCTTGGTATTAACTAGGTAATGTCTAATAACTGTACTGGTGTAGGAACCAGTAAGTATCAGTATTCAAAACTTTGTGTCTGGATAATATCGATCACTGAGTGTTTGCGGATTCTCATTATATTAGCTCAAAAGCTTTTGTTTTCACATTATATTTTAACAATATTATTTATGTTATCACTAATTATAGTCATTAATCATTATTACCTATACGGCTACAATACCCATTGCTCGATTATTATAGAATTCTGAACTGGGCTTTATACTGAATACTAACCACATTAATATGTTACTATATTATTGTTGATTGTTATAGCGTATAAAATATATATTATTCAAACGAGTATAGTTCTGGTATTGAGGTATGTGTAATAGTTTAAAAAAACAAATTAACCTATTTAAAATAAAATGTGTTACAAATTATCTGACATAAATTTTTATTTTTAATACTTTCCTATCTGTTATCATTAAATTTACAAATAACGATAAGTCATATGATGTTTAAACCAATTCTATCCTTCTCTGGACCTCTCTGTCCAGCGAGGGAACACGCCGTGGCCCGACAAAAATCGGTTCTTTCCTCATCCCCTCTCCCCACGTAACACTACGCCACCATGGAATCTGTGTCTAAGGGTGTGCACAGAATCGACGTGTCCTCTCGCTGGACAGGGAGAGATGCGAAATTTATCGAAAATGTTTACAATTAGGTTCAACACAAAACATTATCGACGAGTATTTAAAATACGCTTAATACTAGGTAAACTGACTTGCATTAGGCACCATTTGTCTTTTTAATTTTTAGGTCAATAAGTTTGAAATTTTTAATTAGCACAATAGCACATCTGTTAAAGGAATTTAAATAATAATATTTATGCATATTGCATATAGAACAATTTTTGTTTATTTTATATTTCAAATAGTAGCTATACCTATTATAGTTAGCTGATCAACATTAATATTTATCGTTTGTCTTATCTTATCAATTATATAGGTAGGTAATATTCTGTAACAAATCCATATCGGAAAAATGGTGTTATTTATAATTATAATTTTAAAAAAATAGCTCAACATTTGTTAACCATGGTTTCATGTGTGTACATCATAATACAAAAATATAAGATATGATCATTTTTCAATAATATTTTATTCAATTAATTAGCTACATTTTAAAATAAAACCAATAGATAAGTATATGAATATTTTTAAATATTTTATAATTTTAAAGTTAATTATAAATGTTTTTTCCGAGTTGAGGTATCTAAACTTATTTTTAAATTAAAACCTTTCAATTGAAGAACACTTATGTATCTATAGCACATCTAACGCTATAGCTAATTGCAACATTAGGTACTTCAAGGCTATCACATTCAACATTGTGTTTTAACTTAAGGAAATTTTATTTACGAAAATATAGATCATTTCTGGTTAATTGAGTGCTGTATATGAATGTATTTTTCTTTAAATAAAAAATGATCAATTATAGTTTGTTAGACACCGGAAATAGGTATTATTCCCTGTATTATTCTATGATTTTTGGTACATTTCTTTAAGTATTGTGTTTTCCATTTGTCTTATAATAATAGTGCATTAATACTGCATTATTGCGTATACAGCATCGCTCTACAAAATACAAATAGAGCATGCTATACTCTCAAGTCTTCACTGTATACTGATTTTAATCCTAATGTAACAATAAAATAATCAATGCACCTACAGGTAAAATGTTGATAATCTTTGATCTTTCCTCAATTGGCCTCTTAAATGCTTATAAAATAAAAATGCATCTTAAAACCAAATGTATATATTATGTGATATTGAGGAGTAAGTAGCTGATGTTGTATTATAATTAATACATATACATCTGATTATTCGTGCTCCTGTCTTACATTATCATATTTTTGTTTAAAATTTTTAGAAATCTCTTTATTATATAACAACAACTTAGTTCATATTTAATATTATTTATCCTTGATATTACTAATGGTGTAATAAAAAACTAATGTTTGTTCATTATATAATAAAGAAGTTATTATATACCTACATCGTTATTCCATTAATATATAAAAGTAGTGTAAAATACTGATTTATTAATATATGCATATATATATTTAATTTTAGATTCAAACTAATTTAAATTTAAAATGCTTATGTATAATGTTGATGCTTGAGAATATTCTCCAAACACGAGCATTTTAATGTTTTTTTATTGCTTACTAATACTTTCATAAAAATGTAACTACAATTTAAAAAATATTGCAATTGTTATGTAATTTTTATATATATAATATGCATAACTATAACAATTATAAGGTAGATAGAATATTTAGATTATAGTGTCATACATTAAAAAGTGTACGTAAGCCAAAGGGGTCATCCGCAGGAATTTTTCAAAAGGGGGGGGGGAGCAAAATGTTTTAAATTTTCAATGTTTTGTTTCATGTGCACTGACCCTACTTCTCCACTGCGGACGCCCATATCTAGGGTCCTATAAACTATTCAAATACTAAGATACATTGGTAATGACGTATATTTTGTGGTTTATTTGCTATGGTAGGTGTGTTATATTTATATAAATTATTATGAACACGAATCGACAATGTAGAAACAACTTTATGTAAATATTGCAAGACGGATTAATTTTTTAAATAATATTATTGTATTATCAAAACGAAATAGCACAATAAAAAAGAGGTGGGCAAGTGCGTACCACTCTGCTGTACAGTTGTAGGTGTCACTGTAATAGATGTATAACATTTAAAATCAATAATATACAGTGTTACGAAAAACGATTCTGAGCGAAGATAGTATGTTAGCCTTTATTAAATATATTTCATGATATATTTTTTATATTGCTGCTAAAGTAACTTATTTTGCTATTAGTATTACGGAAGGTTGATATCATTTTTACCGAAAACATTGCATTTATCACATTAATTAAAATTTAAACATTAAAATAGTCTATATTTCTGTTTTATTATATTATTTGTATTGACTTTTTGTTCATGGCATAAATAGGTAATAGCTTTTAATTGATCTGAATATTTTAAAAATGTAATTGCTTATAGGTACTAAAATGTATCATATTATAAGTCTCCTCGGGAAACATAAGAATTGAAGCATTGTTTAGACATTAGACTACTTATTGTGTACAGACCAGTACCTACGAAATTATACGGTTTTTACAATTATTAAATTTAATTAACGATTACTATACTATTTTTTAGATTCATCGAAATAAAAAATAATCTCTTTCGCAATTTATTTTTAAAAAGTTGATTCTTACTTCCTTATTCGTCACTTTACCTATATTTCTTAAATTGCACAAAAGATTAAGTATGTATACATATTTAGAAATGCCAAAAATCAAAATTTAAATATATAACAGTGGTGAGCATGCTTGGTGTATCAACTTGTGTATAGAAATATAGAATCGCCGAAAAAAAGCCCATAAAAAATTAAATATAAATGTGAACACATGTATACTTTACTCCTAATTGGTAATTAGTAATTACCGTGTGGAGTGTACCTATACCAAAATATAAAATATAATGAAAATAATGCCATAAATTATTATCATGTGTAATTTTTGTATAAATGTAGTATGTATATTCTTAAGATGTTATATACTTATATCCCTGACGTTTTTTACTTATAACTTAACACTGTGTATTATGTATAAATGAGTTCATATTTACATTTAAATTCTTTTTACTATTACAAGTTGTTTTTTATACATAGTTAATAGTTAAGCATAAGCCATATTTAAACTAATAATTATTTATATTTGAAATTGTTCATTGAATAAATGGATAAAAAAATGTTTATTTTTAGTTGAGGATCCGCATATACAATTGTCTACATTGGCTGTAATAATTTATGAGTTATTAATTGCTAATTAGGAGTAAAGTTGCATAGGATATGTGTTCACATTTATATTTGATTTTTTCCGTCTACCAAAAACATAGTATATAATTGGTTTTCTGTAACGTGGAAAACGTAAAAATCGATACTTAGGACATTTGTGCGTGCTCGTGTATTCATGTGCAATTTGTCTAACTCACATATCAAATGAGCAATAAATAATGATTTTAAAAAGTTGGACTTTATAACAGTTATTTCAATCAATTATTCTTACTTACTTTATATTATTTGTTTTTTATTTAGCTCCAGTGATAGTGGTTGTCAACTGTAATTATACTACCTATTTACATTTTGTTTTTGATCCTTAAATTCTAGATTTTTAATTTTAAATAAAATATGGCTGGTTAGAAATTTCTTCTTTCTTTTGACGATCTACACTTGCATGCAATTGTTTGCGTATATTATTCTCTTCTCGCATTGTTCCATTGTAACAACACTCGTTTCATATGTATTTCACACATTCTGACATTCACTGTTAAATGAACATCCTACAGGTTAGACGAGTATAATTTTAGGTTAAGTAGGTTCACTGTTTATTATTATTATTATTATTCTCGTGAATAATATTCAAATATTATCTATAAATTAATTAAACATTTTGATTTTTGGTCAACAATAATGAGAATGTTAAGATGTTTTGTCTTGCAATCTTAGAATATTTGACTTCTCTTCAATGATAGTGCTAAAAATTAATAACCCAATTTTGAAACCTTTTTTGGTCTTTACTTATTTTTCATATTATTGTAATCTCAGTATTTATTATTCTTTTATTTTAAAAAAAACCTATCATAATTGAATATTGATTTCAGTGATGCTTATAAATTATAATAATATTATGTAAGTAGGCATGGGAAATAAAAATAAAAATACCGAAAATGCATGTGCAAATTATTATACTATATCTAAGCTCTTTTTCTAATACCAGTTTTCTAATATAGTATACAAATATCAAGACGCATGATGCACCTATAAGTAGATATTATTGTAAGACATTATTAATTGAACTTGTCTGTGTGTCTGCCCCCGCGAAAAGAATGGGTGGTAACTGGTAAGGCAACGGCGTGACATTATCGTGCGTGCGTGTAGGTGCATCGCTGGTACCTCTGCTGCCTCATGGTCCATGCTGTTTTGCCGGCCAACGCGCACGTGGGACAAACTCCTGAACTGTATCATAATAAATAAATATTATATTATTATCGTCATGGCGATGACATCATGTAGCCCTGTGCTGTATACCCGAATTTACTATGGCGCTGTTCTGGTGAGCTGGTATGGCGGTATAAAGACCGCGCTCGCCGTGTCTCGTGCAACAGGTTTCTATTGCCGAAATACACATAATATTATTATTATTGTAATAAGTACGAATAACGATACAAATTCAAATATATAATAATATTATAAATCAAAACATAATAATAATATCAATAATATGATAATATGAGAATGATAAAGCGTGGTGCACCGTGCACAGAGTGCTCAATACCATCATAATTATTGTATTATAATATTATAGTACCTGTATTATTGTGTATATTATGTTATTGTGCCATGTGCAGTATCTATTATATACATACCTACGTCTTATTATTGTCGGCTTGTAGGTAAATTATGTACACCGGACAAAGTCCGCGGCCAGAGATGAAATTGTATTATCTGTTGGTTTTCATGATATCCGAACTGCGAGTGTATAATATATATATTGATATTATATACACACACACACTTATTTTGTTGATAAAACCTAGTAAATAAAGTAATTTGAATATTAATTTGTAAATACAAATATGATGATGTCAAAAACTACAGTATAGGCACCTGGCCATAGGTAGGTGCGCGCGGCAGTAAATCGAGAAACGCTGTCCGGTGTGTATATTATCGCAGACGGCTGCGCGGTATATTTTAATAATATTATATATTATGTAGTCCGCGTTTACTGTAGGCCTCCATCATGCCCGACCGTTACTATTGTTCTAGAATTATTTATGTTTTCTTTATGATCATCATTATTGTAATATCATTGTAAAATATTTCCCGCGTCCGTCCGTCCGTCCGTCGCCACCGAACGCGTTCTGTTGTTTAAACGTTTTTTTGTCTATCCCGTTCATATATTAGAATAATATCTTAGGTAAAGTACAAAGTTCAACTGTGTGCTATAATAGTACAAACACCCAAACGAAAATGCGTAAGTTATTTACAAGAGACGTATTCATAAATACATTATTATTATTATTGCATCGGTTTTCGGAGTGTATTTTGTTGTTGGTATTCATTGGCTTATATACATTCATCAAAGCAGTTTAATACGGACTACAGCTCTGCTGGTATAGTGCACCCTACTGTAATTTTGTAACAAATATTTATTACACGGCTCTAAACAGTCTGAACGATATTCACTATTCGCATGCATATAATTACTATTATTTTACCTATCAATTATCATACTTGTCGTATTACCTATGTAAGCAATGGTCAACAAGTGAACAGTTTCATATACCTTAACTCGCGAACGCGATGCTGTTTTTCATTCAAATGTCTATGTATTATTGTTGGGTTTAGAACGTCCTTAGAATAACAAATTGAAGGAGAATACGTAAAAATAATATGGACCTTAACGGTAACGGTCGGTTGGTCGTAAATATAGCTTTTGAGAAAATATGTCATTATAAATGTTCTCTATATTCTATCATTTTCTGCAGTAAAAATTCCTCGACATTTCGACATTTTTCTTTGTTCCATAAGTCAAACAGAATGTAGCAAATATTAGTTTTTGTCGTCGAGACTGTTGCGATTGTTTTATCCGGGTGCAACGTTCAATATTGTTTCTCCCCCTTCAGAAAAATAGGTAAATTGAAATGAAATGAAATATTTCTGTGCTGTATAGTACCCATGGTAATATACCTATAAGGTACCATAGATTATCATAAGTACACAAACGGTGTAGTATACATTGATAAGTCTGAACAAACAATCATTAACATAATGGTAATAAATAATTAAGTTATTTTTGAATCTGTATAATCATATTCATTAAATAGGATTTAAATTGTACATCAATAAAATAATGGTGTCTACTGAAATAATAATTTTTTATCTGTGCCTCGAAAAAAATGTGTATTTTCTGACCTACAAAATTATACGCTAGGACTGAAGCATTAAGATATACAATATTCACTTCCCCTTTAACTACGTTTCCTGTACTAGTCACAGGCCGCACACAATATTTATTACGCCATAGTTTTCACATAAAATATATATTATTATATAAGTGAGCTAAACGTTATTTGGTGTATTTTATTTTTTAACGTCGGTCAAATCACGTAGGTACAATACGATTTATTGAAGTTCTGATTTATTGCTTTTAATTTTTAACTGCAACATATTGCGAACATCGTATATAGGTACCTACGCCATGAATAAATCATATTAGGTATTACGTAATTGATGATATCGAATATATATTTTTCGCAGCCGTAATGAAATAAGATGGCAATATAGCGGAAAATTGGGAAATATTACATATATTATGGCAATCGTGGCTATATTATAGAAAGCGTTATTATAGGTATAATATACTGAAAATTGTGATTTCATAGGTGATACACAGCCACTGGTATTATAGTGGTACACTGGTACCCGATGACTATACCCGCTATAATTAAAATGCATGCTAAACTTGGTTGTACTCGAGTTTCCGGCTAATGACCAATGAGCAATTTATGTATCTAATTTGTATTATTTGTACTTATAGAAATACTCATAATATAGCAAATCAAGTGAAACTCCCTAATATAGAGTCACTGTACCTGTATAATACATTGTTAATGTATATTCTGTATAAATATTTATTCATATCACTATATTATACTTACTTGAGTAGTCGAGTACCTATGATAGTATAAAGAGTAAAGATATAAGAGTTTTAGTTCTTACATGCTTTATTTGGGACTGGTTTTGTGGCCAAATATATGTACCTATATAAATATAATATGGCATCTGCCTGCCCCATGGTTTTAATACGACTCAACGCCCAGGGGTATGGAATAGAACTAAGCCTACCGACTTTTCAAAAATTGCATCAGAAAACGATGCGAGACAACAATGCTTATCATTATTAGTAGTATACGTTGACCACATTAACCCATATTTTCTTCAGATTTCCTTTTAATTTCTCTATCAATTATCTTGTTATCTATATGAAAATAATCGTTATTATAACTAAAAGTCTTTGGGGGTTTAAGATTTAAAAAAAAAATAATCGGCAATAATTTATTTTTGAGATTTAGGGGGATGGAGTGTATGGATGTTAGGGGATCCTAATGTATAATACCCACTTGATACAATAATATTAAAAAATATCGTTTCAAGAAAATTAAAGGAAACTTATTTATAGCAGAAACGGACCTCAACGGCATGCCGGTGCACCGCGAGCAGACCTATTTGCAGACCATTGACACTCCGCAGGTACACTCGCCGCCCATGACCAATCAGAACCAGGCGTGCTCCATCTGCGGCGACCGGGCGACTGGCAAACACTACGGGGCGGCGTCCTGTGACGGCTGCAAAGGATTCTTCCGGCGGTCCGTCCGCAAGAGCCATTTCTATTCGTGCAGGTGAGTCGTTGTAGATCAGCGTTTTCAAAATAATTGTTTTCCTCGACCGACCGATTTCGATGTAAACGCGTACCATTTATATACATATTATATACCATTGATTATTATCTAGTATAAAATACTAACACCGTTTGTTCGCATCGTTGTCCCGACAGATTTTCGAGAAACTGCATCGTCAACAAGGACAAGCGCAATCAGTGCCGATACTGTCGTTTGAGGAAATGCTTCAAAGCCGGGATGCGAAAAGAAGGTATGTCACTGATGACGAAACGACCGCCGATTATTTCAACAGCTTAATCGATCATTTGATTTAAATAAAATATTACAAATAAATTTACAATGCACTATTATACCTACCATATTGTAAAATAATGATATCGTTTTTGTGAACTTTCTAGCCGTGCAGAACGAACGCGACAGAATCAATTGCAGACGACCCAGTTACGAGGAGCAACCGTGCGCCAGCGGTTTGTCCGTCACGTCGCTGTTGAACGCCGAAATCTTGTCCCGCAGCGAATCCGATGCAAGTGATATAATTGATAATATCTTAATAACAATATAAGTACAATGTATATCGTGTTAAAGCACCTGTAGTGCATCGTTTCTTTCGAAAATTATGTCGTTTCCGCTGTAACATTTTTTTCCTTCAGAATAATTTAGAATCGTTTCACGGTCGTCTTGACGAACGGCAATATTATAATAATTATTTATAAACCACATAGTTCTATCTATAGAATTATTAACATTTTTATTTTAAAGTGTCATAACATTGTAACAAATGTGTGTGTATATATATACTGATTCGTAATAATAGTACCTACTACCTACACAAGTAAGAAATGGAATAGTTTCTAGTAAGATATTCAAAAACCAAACAGGTCAAATAATCATATCCGTTAAATTAACATTTCAAATGTGATAACCTAATATATTGAGGATAAAACTAATTCTAGTATGAATATCTTAAAAAAATAAAAGTATGCGAAAACTATAAAAAAAATATATAATTTAATAGGTCCCTTATTTAGGTCAATATGTATCACTTATTATTTATCCATCATAATATCAGCATACTCGATATTTTTTAGATGACATGTTCAAAAATAAACTATACCGTATAATCTATAATAAAGGTTTGGTGTCCACGATAGTGACGTCCTCGTATTAACCCCCGGTCAATGGTAAAGGGTCCTCAATATAATAATTACATGCGTCAGATAGAAAACTAGAAATAATTCTTTTAACCGATCAAACCCCACTACCGATTTGTGCGAATAGTTGCTTTTATTATTAATATTATTATCCCCATATTCTTTATGACGTCCAATATTTATTGTGATTTATGATTGTTTACAGACGGCTGAGGACTCTAACCTAGCGAACAAACAAGTGGCGAACATAGGAGACGTGTGCGAATCCATGAAAACCCAATTGCTCTTCCTGGTCGACTGGGCCAAGCGTATACCCGCGTTCACAGAACTCCAGCTGAACGACCAGGTACGTTATAATATCCGTTTCCGTTATTTTTACTGATGGGGCTGCGACCTTTGAAAAGTATGAGAACCTACATTGTTACATAACGTGTCACATTGTTCTACAATAGGTTTCGTTGTTACGAGCTCACGCGGGAGAACACTTGCTCTTGGGTTTGGCTAAGAGGTCGTTAATGCTCAAGGACGTGCTGCTGCTGGGAAACAATCGCGTTATAACCCGTCACGTACCTGGTAAGTGAAAACTAATTATTTTAGTTGAGAAATATTAATAATAATGATAATATATAAGATATTTACTAGTTAGGTTACCAATCGAAAAATAAAATATTACATTGTGTGGTGTCATGTAGGTGCAAGGCTCGAATACTATTTTTGCTGGAACTCTAGTCACCCAATATATTAACTGAGAAGGTGTATAGCTGGGTGTAACCCCTTACTACCCCCCCCCCCCCCAAACTATATAGTTATCGATAATAATACGAATACAATTTGTCATTTACATCTAATATCTTACGTATTATACCTTATGTATTGAGTATTATCCGAACGGAGGAAAATCATAATTGCCAAACACTACACGTACCTATGGTAAAATATATATCTGGAGTTTGAAGTGTACCTAGTCGTGTTGTATTATTCTGTCATTGCATTTCTGAAGAAAACAGCTATTCTGGTTGTCCTTGTTTATATCACCT